GTTTTACACATTCACGTACCCGTCTGTGCCGTCCCCCATTCCTTCCAAGACATCCACATAGACTCCAACGCTTTTATTCTACTCTTTTTCCGAAGCCGACCATGGGCATGGCCAGTGCCTGCTGGAAGGGACATCCCAACACTTCTCTGACAGGTGACAATTTCCACAAGGAAAAAATGCACCTAAAAAAAGTAGCCAAGTGAAGGAGTGAAAAAAAAGAAGAAAAAAGCTCACACTCTAGACTCGAGTACGAGAGTTTCGTACTCAGGCCATCTGCTCGAGCTGGACCCTTCGAAACTGGAGTGCGCTACAAGCTCGCTACGCCAACTCCGCATGCACTTTTCTCGAACGTAGGATGCGCGAGAACCTGCGCAGAAGACGAGTTTAGAAATAGGCGCGAGCCACCTTAAAGAAACGTTCAGTAGAGAGGTTCTGCAAAACGAAAATTCGAACGAAGTTGCTCGACAGTCCTTGCGAAAGTGTGTACGAATTTTTGCACGAACTTTGCGTTCTGCACATTTTCGTAGTTTGCGCGGGCCAAGTGCACGTACGCCATGACCCGATCTCACGAAATGTCCTACGAATACGACAGTTCATTTCGCGTTCCCTGCAAGTTTCGCGTCCCAAGTTGCGAAGTTTTGCACTTCATGGCAATGAACGAACCTTTTTACGCATTTTCGTTTTGCAGAACCTCTCTAGTGACTCATTTGTTTCATACGAGACGAGTCAATGAGTTGGTGTGGCTTAGAATCTTTCGCTGTAGAAGAAATCTATTCGTATGTCTATTGGAGAAATAATTGTATTCACTGGTTATAAAATAGGTTAAGACAAACTCACAGAATAAATACCATTGGTCCCTTGGTGTTCGTCCTAAAGAGGTTCGACTGGATATCATTCATACTCACCAAAAGATGTGTAAGATTTTATTATTATGGAGTGCCTTGTTTATCTCTCAGTACCTCCAACCAAAGCCTATCCCCTTTTATCCTCAGGATCAGTGTAGTTGTTGGAACGAGGTTTTGGACTCAGCAATGTATTTGTTTACATGTTAATACATGTTTATTGTTCCTCCTTTGTGTTGTTTTAGAAAATCGTGGACTACCAGTTTGAAGTCATTGAACTACTTCCAAAAGTTGTATCGACATCAACAGGATTACGATTTCAGTGCAATATGATGCAGGATGACCTTATCACGATAACCCATGATTATAAACCATTATAAACACAGAATCAACAAAAACATCTGCGACAAGTACCTTGTTACATTTCTCAAATAAATCTGATCGAGGGTGGGGAAATCTGAAATATCTGAAAGGCAAGACAATTTTATGACAGTCATGAAACACCCTAGTAAAATAAATAAAATAATAATAATAATCAAAATTTTGAAGGACGCTTCACGCAGCTTCATTATACTTGAATTGTTTGCAGGCAACCTGCCTACACCCAAGAGAGCACTGCATTTCACACAAATCCATTGGTATCGTTACAACGTTTCGGTCTTTATGACCATCATCAGGAATGAAGTGGACATGGAAAGAACAGCAGTATAAAAGAGGGAGGCAAGCAAGCAAAGCGCGGTACATAGTGACAGCGCGCGTAGAGAAGTGCAAAGCACGTCATGGCGGGTGTGCATTACTACATATACATGACAACACAAGCACAAACGGCGAGGAAAGTAGATACTGCGCTACAGCAGTGATAACAGCCCAGTTCCAGTCTCACACCACCAGTGAGGTGTCTAGAGCCCCGCGCCACTCGCAGTAAGGTGGTGTTATAGCAGATCCCAGCCACTGTTATTGTTAATTTCCGGGGATCGCTCCCTGATATTGATCGCCTCCCGGATCCTCCTCCTGGGGCGGTCACGCTCAGAACCGAGAACCCGGATACCTGAGAAAGCCGTTGCTCCCAATGGCAATGGGTCAGATGCATGCTTGGCCGCGAAATGCTCACCCAGCGCGGTGCCGCTCACTGTGTTGCGTGCGTCGTCGTTGTGTTCTTTTGTCCTGGTAGCGAGGCTGCGGTACGTCTCTCCGACATATTTATCACCACATTTGCACTCCAGGTGGTATACAACATTTCGCTCCGTGCATGCCCCCGAACCGGACATGCAGGCGACACAAGCAGCTTTGGGCCGCCCCCGTTTACGGGGCCTGGACGGGTCTACATACCTGCGGCATGGTGGTTTGCGGAGGGCAGACGTGCAAATCATAGAACTTAGACGGCGGTTCCTGTAAATCAGCTGGGCATTTATCTTGTACTTCCGGAGTAATTTATGAATTTTGTTGTGGATATACTCGGTGTGAAACGGTAGGTTGAGGGTGACACGGTATTCATTCTGCACTCTGACACGTCGGGGGCGCATAGCTCGTTCACGTGCCGAAACTATAACTGACTCTGGGAAGTTGTTGAATTTTAGGATGTTGGTTACTTTTTCTTCACTTCTTTTTAGGGTGTCGGCATCGGAGGATAGGCGGACGGCACGCAGGAACTCAGATATATTAAATTCACTCACCAATCCACGGAGTTGACTGGCTCAATCAATTTCATGGACACGACCGTCCATGTCTCACCAGATGGATCTATATCCTATGAACTATACCGCAAGCCATGTCACAGCGGACTGGTATCAGACTACAACTCGTCAGTTCCCAACCAGCAAAAGAAAGCAATCGCTTCCTCTGAGTTCCTGCGTGCCGTCCGCCTATCCTCCGATGCCGACACCCTAAAAAGAAGTGAAGAAAAAGTAACCAACATCCTAAAATTCAACAACTTCCCAGAGTCAGTTATAGTTTCGGCACGTGAACGAGCTATGCGCCCCCGACGTGTCAGAGTGCAGAATGAATACCGTGTCACCCTCAACCTACCGTTTCACACCGAGTATATCCACAACAAAATTCATAAATTACTCCGGAAGTACAAGATAAATGCCCAGCTGATTTACAGGAACCGCCGTCTAAGTTCTATGATTTGCACGTCTGCCCTCCGCAAACCACCATGCCGCAGGTATGTAGACCCGTCCAGGCCCCGTAAACGGGGGCGGCCCAAAGCTGCTTGTGTCGCCTGCATGTCCGGTTCGGGGGCATGCACGGAGCGAAATGTTGTATACCACCTGGAGTGCAAATGTGGTGATAAATATGTCGGAGAGACGTACCGCAGCCTCGCTACCAGGACAAAAGAACACAACGACGACGCACGCAACACAGTGAGCGGCACCGCGCTGGGTGAGCATTTCGCGGCCAAGCATGCATCTGACCCATTGCCATTGGGAGCAACGGCTTTCTCAGGTATCCGGGTTCTCGGTTCTGAGCGTGACCGCCCCAGGAGGAGGATCCGGGAGGCGATCAATATCAGGGAGCGATCCCCGGAAATTAACAATAACAGTGGCTGGGATCTGCTATAACACCACCTTACTGCGAGTGGCGCGGGGCTCTAGACACCTCACTGGTGGTGTGAGACTGGAACTGGGCTGTTATCACTGCTGTAGCGCAGTATCTACTTTCCTCGCCGTTTGTGCTTGTGTTGTCATGTATATGTAGTAATGCACACCCGCCATGACGTGCTTTGCACTTCTCTACGCGCGCTGTCACTATGTACCGCGCTTTGCTTGCTTGCCTCCCTCTTTTATACTGCTGTTCTTTCCATGTCCACTTCATTCCTGATGATGGTCATAAAGACCGAAACGTTGTAACGATACCAATGGATTTGTGTGAAATGCAGTGCTCTCTTGGGTGTAGGCAGGTTGCCTGCAAACAATTCAAGAATAATAATAATAATAATAATAATAATAATAATAATAATGAAATTCTGCTACAGCAACATGCACAGAATGACCTCCTTATAAAAAAAGTATCACCACTGTCCACCACTACACTCACATGTATCCCCGCAGAAGAACATGCTAGTGCCATTTTCTGCAAGAAAAGGCTTGCACATCAATGCGTATGATACGGTGTAATTGACATGATGTGAAGGCCATCATTTACATAATTATTGATATAGGGCATTCCATTGGTGACAGAAAAAACAAAAGAAATTATAGCAATAAAAACTGCTTTATGGCAGTTTTCTAAAAAAAGTTATTGTGTTCTCGTCCATGGACCCCGTCTAAAAAGTAAGAAATTAACGAAATGTGATAGCCGAAAATTAAAATTTCACACAAAACCTCACAATAATCACATACAGAATGAAAAGCTACATGCAGAAGACCTGTAAAAGGCCCTAGGCCTGTGGGACTGCCGTATTCAAAATTTAATAATAATAATAATAAGACCTTTTCCCCTCGTGATCCTCTTTCCTATGCATGCATGACATGCATGTTGCCAATTGTTGTGCGGTACAAGTTTAGTGTTGAAAGCAGCATTTCAAGTGTTGTGATTATTGTGAGGTTTTGTGTGAAATTTTAATTTTCGGCTATCACATTTCGTTAATTTCTTACTTTTTAGACGGGGTCCATGGACGAGAACACAATAACTTTTTTTAGAAAACTGCCATAAAGCAGTTTTTATTGCTATAATAGTATTAGATTGACCCAGTCATTGTACGTGTAGTGCTGTCAAGCAATGCTGTGCCTGCAGTACCCATGCCTTGCTAGCCCTCGCACCCCATGATCCTCCAACCCCAGTAAGGCAGTATGCGTGTGTGCAGACAGCGGTAAACTGTGCAGCTCCAGTAATGGCAGTATCGAAGATGGCCTCCACACTAAATCCCCCCACCCCTCCCTCTCCACAATTGATTCGAGATAGATTTGCTATCCGAAGACCAAGTGACAAAACCTGTTTGCTCTTCCATGGGCTCAATTTTTGAGTCAATACATAATGTATTGACATTACACATACATAGTCATTGTAATGACGTAATTGTTATCTAGGCTAACGCAGCATTCACACACACGTAACGCGCGTACGCACGCATACAAGCAAAACCGTGTCATAAACAAAATGGCGCTCAGCGCCCTGTGATTACTGTAGTAACTGCATTGCTACCAGGGAGTCGTAAAA